AATGTGAAAGCTTATAATGAGACTCCCCTGGGATATAAGCCCTGAGAACTGCCACAGGTAAAACATATATGTTCCCTTAATAATTGCAGAATGATCAGTAATTCATAACTTACTAATTAACATTTAAAAGACTACAGGTTAAGTTATAGAATACACTAAATCCCACTAAAAATATATTGTAGAATTACACTAAAGTGATATGAGGTACTTGGAGTTTTGCTTCTGGTCAAGATGAAATTACATCTTGATATTCCATGTAGATATTCCATGTAGATATTCCATTGATCGCCAGAACTTAGAAGATGAAGCTTCATGTCAAGAGAAGCCAAGAAGTGGCAATACTGGAGGTGAGAGAACTGTACACAGGGTTCTGAAAATATGCAGAGTCCCCTTTGAGTATTCAGCTGAATATGGATTAGTGCATGCATGTAAGGAAGCTACCAAAAGCCTGGGGGAAAGACCCACCTAAAAAAGATTAGAGAAAACAGTGCCCAGGGCTCACAAGAGACTGGGCAGAGTACCTATTTTCAATAGCCAGAGTTGAACACCTCAAAATTCCTGAGGGCCAGAGTAGCTTTTAATCTAAGTTAAAGTTAGTCTACTACTGAGGCAAGACCCTTCTCTGGTCCTATCTAACAGAGTTAGTTAGTTAGTTTAAAGTTTGTTTATTTATTTTGAGTTAGAGAAAGAAAGCAGGGGAAAGGCAGAGCGAGAAGGAGAGAGAATCTCAAGCAGGCTTTCCACTGTCAGCACAGAGCCCAACGTGGAACTCTACCTCACGAACTGTGAGATCACGACCTTAGCGCAAATCAATAGTCAGATGCTTGACCAACTGAGCCACCCAGATGCCCCCTGTCTAAAAAGTTCAAAAGCAAGACTCTAAAGGATCAGATTGTATCCAAGTAACATGACCACTTTCCGGAACAAAGCTTAAGAGTATATATGGGATTATAAAATATGAATCTCCAAACAGAATAAAATTCAGAATATCTTCTCCCAGTAAAAAATCACTAGGAATTTTTAAAAGTAGGAAAATACAATCCATAATGAGGAAAATAAGTCAGTTGAAACTCAGAATGACAGAGATGATAGAATTAGTAGATAAAAACATTAAAACAGTTGTTATAGCTGCATTCAATACATCCAAGAAGTGAGAAGAAAGGTTAATCATGTTTGATAGAGATGTGAAAAATGAGGAAAAAAAAACTCAAACTGAATTTACAGAGATAAAAACTAAATTGTCTGAGATTAAAAAATATCTATCTTAGATTACTGGCAGATAAACATTTTAGAAACAAAGATTAATGACTTTGAAAACATAGCAAAAGAAACTATCCAAAATGAAACTCAGAGAAAAGACTGAAATAAACATATCAGTGAAATGTGGGATAATTTGCAAGTGATTGAAGAACTTGAAAATGGGTGGGTGAGAGGGCACAGAAAAAGTATTTAAAGAAATATTAGTCATTTTTGTCCACATTGGTAAAAACTATAATTACACATATTCAAGATGCTAAGCAGTCTCCTACTACAAGACACATAAAAACAAACAAAAACTACTTGAAGGAATATTGTTTAAAACTAGTGATAAAGAAAATCTTAAAACAATCAGAGAAAATTAACAAATAACACAGGGACCAAGACAAATATGACACTAGATTATTTCTTTGGAAACAATGTAACTGAGAAAATAGTAAAGCAGTATCTTTAAATTACTGAGAGAAATATATAGCCAACTAAACCTTAAAATTTTTTACCCAGAGAAAATAGCTCTCAAAAATGAAGGCAAAAAGAGACTTTTTCTGATACATAAAAGCTGGAGGAATTCATCACCAGCAGACCTGTTCTAAAAAAAAAAAAAAAAAAGTTTAAGAAAGTCCTTTTAGCTCAAGAATGATGGTATTAGATAGAAGCCTGGCTCTACAAAAGTATTGAAGTGTTCTGGAAATATTAACTACAGAGATAAACATGAAGACGCTTATTATTGCTACTTAAATCTCTGAAAATAAGAATTGGCTTTATTAAAGGACATAGCAAGGAGAATTCATTATTAAAGGAAAAATTAATAACAATGTATAAAATAAATAAAACCCAGAGCACAAAAGCCAGAAGGGCAGAAATGGAAGTACACTGTTTTAAGGTTCTTATACTATACCAAAGTAGTAGTATATCATTTAAGTGTAGACTGTGATAGGTTAAAGATGTTTATTATAAACTCTAAGCAACCACTGAAATAACACAGCACACTTATAACTACTAATCCAACAATAAAGATAAAAAAGAGTCATAAAATATACAAATGTATAGTTGGCTCTTGAACAACATGGGTTTGAACTACATGGTTTGTTTATATGCAGATTTTTAAAAATATATAAATACAGTATAGTCCTGTAAATGTATTTTCTTTTACTTGTGATTTTCTTAATAATATTTTCTTTTTCATATGTACTTTGTCATAAGAATACAGTATATAATACATATAACATACAAAGTAATGTGTTAATCAACTGTTTATGTTTATTGGTAAGGCTTTTGGTCAACAGGAGGCTATTAGTAGTTAAGTTTTTGGAAGGGGGTCAAAAGTTATATGTGGGTTTTTTTTTTTTACTATTGAGGAGGTCGTATTCCTAACCCCTGTATTGTTTAAATGTCAACTGTAATATAGAAGAAGTCACAAAAAGAGGAAAAAGATGAATGAAGAATAGATGAGACAAATAGAAAACAGATAATCAAGACTGTTGCTTTGAACCTAACCATACCAATAACTGCATTAAATGAGAACGGTCTAAATACCCCAATTAAATGGCAGAGATTTTCAGATTGGATTAAAAAAGCAAACAAACTACATGCTGCCTATAAAAATGAATTTTAAATATAGAGGACATAGAAAGCTTGAAAAGCTCTATCAACCAAATTAATCTAATTGGCATTTAGAGAACATTCTATCCAACAAAAATAGACTATGCACTCTTTTCAAGTGCATATCATCATTTACCAAGATAGACTATATTCTGAGCATTAAAGAAAAGCTCAATAAACTTAAAAGGATTCAAGTCATATGTTTTGTTACTACGATGGAGTTAAATTAGAAATCAATAAGAAAGAGACCTGGAAACTCTTCAAATACTTGGAAACTAAATAACACACTTCTAAATAACCTATGGATCACAGAAGAAATCAAAGGGAAAGTAGAAATATTTGAAATAAATAAAAATAAAAACACAATATATCAAAATTTATGGGAAATTTATGAAACTAAATGCCTATTCTAGACAAGAAGAAAGTCTCATTACTGAGCTCAGCTTCCACCTTGAAAAGCTAAAAAAAGAACAAATGAAACCCAATAAACAGAAGAAATAATATAATACAGATCAGAGGACCAACCAATGAAACACAAAATATTAAAACAATGGAAAAATTATGTCAACAGTAACTGGTTCTTTGAGGAAATCAATAAAATTGATAAATCTCTAACTGGAGAAATAAGAGGAAAAAAAGAAGCAAATTCCTAGTATCAAAGAGAGGTTAAATCACTAGATTTAAGATATTAAAAGGATAATATGGGAATATTTTGATCAACTTTATGTCATAAATTTGACAACTTAGATGAGAGGGACACATTCCTCAAAAGACACAAATTACCACATTCACTCAACAGGAAATAGATAAACTTGAATAATCTTTTATCTATTAGGGAATTTGAATTCATAGCTAAAAACCTTCCAAATTATCAGTCATCAAGTATATTTGATGCATAAAACTCATAATAGAGTGGAATTCAAATGATATAAACTAGAGGCAAAAAATTGAAATATGTTTAGGGGTTAAGTGAATAATGTAGGTGAATGATGTAGGAAAAACTAAATGCCAAAATACAATCAAACTTTATTTTTACTGAACCATGCTATGTACAGAAATGTAACATAAACATATACAATAACAAAGATTTTATTTTATTTTGAAAATTAAATTTAAAGTCAATATATCATTGTTAATTATTATTTCCTATGTTTCTGTGGTTCTCTAAAGTCAGAAACCTGATTCTTTTTTCTTTTGTCCTTAGACACTAATATTTTTTGGATTTTTTATGGCATTATGGACAACTTCAAATATTTTACTTTGGCATTGGCATTTAGTTTTTTACCAGTTCATAATAGGAATAGTTATTGACAGAAGCTGTTACTTCCAAATATGGATAGAATTCTTATACAACATGCTCTTCCTTCCTCTCTCTTTACATTGGCGGCTCCTCATTGTTCAGTTCTCAGAATTAAAACGTTCTCTTCAGAGATGCTCTCTCTCTATTATTATTTCTCATTCTTCTATTTTCTTAATAATATTTGTTTTTTACTAGTAGCTATACTTTGTTAAGCTGATACTCATCTTTCCTACTCATCTGTAAGTTCCATGGAGGCAGGGACTCTGTTTTTCTCATTGTACACCAATGTCTAACTTGGTACCTATACACCAGTAGGAGCCCAATAGAATTGAAGAAAGAATGAATAAAATCCATGAAGCTCTGGTCAGAGGGCAGGACTGACAGCTCACATGTACACTTTTCTTGGTCAGTGATGATTTGAAACCCAGTTAAACTCCTATTCCAAATGGAGAAAGATAACAGAAAGTTTTTTAAATAACTTTTTGGAGGGCCTTACAGGAATTTAAATTGGACACATACTTTGAACAAACTCTTGACCTTTTAGAAGTATGTTCTATGGAGACTCACTATGCATACCTTTTAGAGCAGCAATTCCTTTCCTAGGCATGTAGCCTGAAGACGAAGTCAGATAAGTACTTAAACACGTGTGGAGATGCATTCTCATTACAATAATTATATGTAAAAATGAAAAACAGAACTCGGAGAATAGCTGAATACACTTTCAAATTATTTAAATAAATTCTAATGTCATCAGTGAATTGCTATGCAGGCATTAAAATTATAATATGTAACTGTATTTAGTTATAGTTTAAAAAAACAAGAAAAATAAACCCCCAATATATTAAGTGAAAAAAGTTTAAATAATATGTATAAAATACTCATTTCCTTTTTTGGTATAAAAGAAAGAACAAAACAATGGATGTATGCACATAGGCATGTCCAGAAAAATTTCTAGAAGGGGATATAGAAAGTTGCTCATAGTGACTGTCTCTGGCTAGTGAAGTATCTAAATTCTTTGTTATAGTTGTTTATTGTTATAAGGGATATGCATTCAATTTATAATAATTTTTAAAAGTAATAAAGGTAGGTCCTCTGGGAAAAAACACTTTTTAAGAAGATTCTTCTACTTCTATTAGGAATATATTTGATGTCCCATGGCTTTCAATCAGAAATTTCTTTCAATGAAGGGGTATTTCGTATTGATGAGACAGTAAAAATGCCTTTTAAAAAGTGGCTTTTACTTTTCTTTCAACATGTTCTAGAATATACTTATGCTTAAAAAAATTTTTTTTTAATTTTGTTTCACTGAGTATTAAGCATTGTTGGTGAAATTGTGACTTTGTTATTAGGCTCAGTTGGCGAACTTGATTTTGTTTTACATTTTACTACTTAGGCATTTGTTAAGCCAATTCAAATAACTAATTTTCATGGCACTACATTTGGTGTGCATGAACATAAGCTGTGGATAAGAGGTAAGCCACCATCCCACTAGCAAATGATTTAGATTGTCACCCTCCCAAATCATGTTATTTTCTTTAACATTTCCAGTAAGAGCCAGATTACTGAGCTATATCATAGTCCAGCGAGTTTATAGGTTCTCTCTTTGCACGAATCAATCCAAATAGTCTGATGGGGTCATCATGAACATTTTCCTCTACTTCCTGGCTCTCAAATGGGAAGTTGTCTACTGAAGTGGTGTTAGAAAGGATGGCATCTGCAGCACATAACTGGGTTTCTTCGTCCTTGTGTGACAGATCAGTATTCTGTTTCTTGGGCTTTCTGCGCTTCCTCTCAGAGTTGTGATCCACGAAGGAATAGAATACCTGTGCTTCCTCGGTTGTCTAAAAAGAAAGGCATGTTAATTTTTTTATCGTTAGCTCATTCTTTAACTTTGATGACTTCTGGGGATTTCTAAGGTCTATGAAAAACAAGCAGCTTGTTTTCTGGGCTCTGGCTACCTTGTTTTGCCAAATTTGGCAGTTAGGATGAAAACAAAAAACAATAGTCAGCTCAAGCCTCAAGACTTTTGAGATGAGATTTTTGTATGCATATTTTTATTTCTTTCTTATACACAAAATAGACATGAACATTTTAGATGGACCTTTATGTGCATCTCCCCCTGTCTTTACCTTATGTAGCTCTTGCCCTGTGTTGCTTTTACCAAGTGACAATACTCTAATTTGTTAAACCGGGAACAAGCATGATAGGAAGGAATTTAATGAACCTCAAAATGTACTTTACCCATGTTTAATAACTGGTCATTTGACGGTACCCATAAAAGTCCCCAATTTTTCTACTTTTGAGATTCAGGAGTATAAAGATTCAGAAGTATAAAGATAAGAGTATCCATTTATGTGAGTGGCATCTGGCAAGAATTACATTTTCCAACTTCCCCCTTTTATTTCCTCTTTGCCTTCCTTTCCCCAGATTCCCTTTGAGCTCATTTTAAGTTGTCCTTGGAGTATTCATTTGCATCCAAGAGGTCCTCTCTGGCCTAGACCAGGGTCAATACTAGAATAAGAAAAACAGAAGACTGCAGAAACTTGGGGGAACAAACAGGCTGAAGGCAAAACCTTGAATTTGGTGTTGGAAAGCCTAGGCTTGAATCCCTGCTCTATAACATGATCATGAGACTTTGGGCAATTTTAAAAAACTATTTGAGCCTCAATTTTCTTGCTTATAAATTGAGAGTACCTATCTCACAGGGTTCGGAAGAGATAATATATATGGAAGCTATAATCATTGTCCAAAGATAAGTTGGGGGATTATAGTTATTCGAAGTTGTAGGCTAAAACTGTAGGACAGCTATTGAATAAACCACAAATTTCTGTATTAAGGATTCACCTTTAAGAGTAGGCCAAAATTATATAAATTCATGGAGCATGGAGTAAGGAAGCGACACTCAGATTAACAGACCTTTGAATGTATTGGTAAGCATGTCCCTGTTGCACCCATTTTCATGCTAAGAATTACATGTTTTATCTTTGTTACCAGGCGGAAGAGATGGTTCTCTTTGCAACCTCTCTAGTATCTTTGACTTTTTGTTCCTAAAATAGTAATTCCTGGTAAATTGCAATGACTGCCTCACTGGTATCCTGGTTCTAGTCTCTTCCCTTTGCCAGTTAGCCTGTGTGCTATCTTCAGATTGTCTTCTTCAGGTGCAACTTTCATATTTTTCCCATTCTGTCTCCAAAATTTTAGCCTATAAAATCTGAATTTCATATTCTGACTTTCAAGGTCTTCCATGTTTGTACTTCACCTTTTTATTTTGATTCTCACTACCTGCCCCCTCCCCAAAAGTGTATTCCAGGGAAAGTGAACAATTTACTGCTTTCTGCACACACCTTGTACTTCTACTTCCTTTGCCTTTGCCCAAACAGAGAAGGAGACATCAGTGATGTTCAAAAATAACTAGAAGGCACTCAGTGATACAAAGGGATGGATATCTTTTTTGTCTGTCCAGCACTTTGTTCTATCATTTTTCTTTGATAAATTCCCCATTGTCCTTTGGGAAACTCTTTTCCTCTGGTCCGAGAGAGGCTGTCAATTACAGTGCTGTACCCCACTCCTAGGGCAAGACTAAGCATGTGACCCAGGCTGGAACCAATCATACCACAGAACAGAAGTTGGCAACAGAAGCTGGTCCAAGAATGGACATGTGATTTAAGCAGAGCTAATTATATGGCATCTTTGGGATTTATGTACAGATGTAGGAATAGAAAATGTGTTTTTTCCCTTGAGACTGGGAGGAAGAAAATCTGGATCTCCCCATGGCTTGCCCAGTCCATGGAAGAGTCCACTGGTAATAGAAGAGAAGGAAGTCATTAACCAAGAGAAGCAGGGAAGAGAAATGGAGAGAGTCCTCATATTCAGTCATCTCAAAAACAAAATACACCCTACATCTCCCAGTTACATGAGGCAGTAATTTCCCTTTTATGCTAAAGTCATTTGAATTTGGTTTCTGTACTTTTAACTGAAAGCATTCCAAATAATGTATGTCCAGTCAACAGTTGGTCAACTTTATCAAGCGCTAAAGAATTCAGAAAATGGGAGTCCCAAGAAAGGATCACAGATTGTACATGAAGAGTCACTTCTGGGGGTGCCTGGATGGCTCAGTTGGTTAAGCGTCTGACTCTTGATTTCGGTTCAGGTCATAATAGCACAGTTCATGAGTTTGTGAGTTTGAGCCCCACATTGGGCTCTGTGTTGATAAGATGGAGCCTTCTTGGGATTCTGTCTCCCTCTTTCTCTGTTCCTCCCCCACTTGTGCTCTCTGTCTCTAAGTAAATAAATAAACTTAAAAAAAATTAAAAATGATTCACTTGACTTCCAGAGTGTGGTTTCAGATGAATGGATGGGTGGGAATTATATAGCCAGGAGTAAAAGAATGTGTATCTATAGACACAGCAGAGGAGAGTAAGAATCAGTTTAGGGATTATAGAGAAACACAGGTTGATGGCAAATTTTGTTGGTTTGTTTGTTTTGTTTTTAAATATTGGGGTGATTTGTGCATATTAGTAGGTAAATAGTAATGATCCTTTAAAGAAAAAATGGAAAATGGAGACAAATTAAATAATTGAAGATGCAAGATCTTGAAAGGAGAAATGGTCATGAGCATAAATAAGGTATTGGCTTTGGAAAGGAAAGTAGATACTTCTGACGTAGGAGGGAAAGGCAACATCAGTGGGAAACTGTGACATGAAGAGAAGAGGAGCAAGCTCACACTGTGGTCCTTAATGTGTTTTAGGATATGGGAACTGTGTGGACTCTTTTTACTATTAGGTTTCCTGATGATCTCTTCCAAGTTAATGGTAGACTTGGGTATTAAAATTACAACTTCTGAACTGTATACATCATTTTAAAGGGCGAGGAGCTTGTTTCTTTTTCCAACAGACGCTTTATCCGTAATGCTTTCTGCATAATATTGTAGGCTCCTTATGCTTTTGTAATTGACCAAAGTTAACAAAGTAAGTATTGTAGTAGCAAATTGGGTAATGGTTTTGATGATAATGATCATTCTAATAAAATAGAATTGAACAAATATAAAGAAATTATATTTAATTTGTGAAACCAAATTTATGAGAAGGGCATAATAGAATAAAGGCTAACCTCTTTAGAACTGTCTTTAAATATATCATTTACAAAATAGCACACTGTTAAAGGCATTTTAAACTTGCCACAATTTCCACTTGAGTAAAAGCCAGATGTGGCACAATTCATATGTACTAAATAGCAACTTTTATTAAGAATTTTCTGTTCTTTGGGGGCACCTGGGTGGCTCTGTCAGTTGAGCAGCTGACTCTTGATCCTGCCTCAGGTCATGATCTCCCATTTAATGGGATCAGGCTTCACATCAGGCTCCATGCTGACAGAGGGTAGCCTGTTTGGGATTCTCCCTATCCCTCTCTCTGCCACTCCCCTGCTCATGCACACACACATTCTCTCTCCCCCAAAATAAATACACTTAAAAAATAATTTTTAGTTCTTTTATAGTTATGGTGCTTTGAATCTCTACATTTATGATGGTGTGGTTATATTTTAACCTTTGAGATATTTTCTTTTTATTATGGATTTAGCAGATCCTATTATAACATGAAGTTTTTTTTTTAAGTTTATTTATTTTGAGTGAGACAGAAAGCATGAGCTGGGGAGGGGCAGAGAGAGAGGGAGAGAGAGAATCCCAAGCAGGCTCTGCACCGTCAGCGTAGTGCCTGACTTGGGGCTCGAACTCACAACTGTGAGATCGTGACCTGAGCCAAAATCAAGAGTCAGGTGCTTAACCAATTGAGCCACCCAGGCACCCCAAAATGCACTTCTTCCTACCTTTTATTAAAAAAAAATTACCCTTAATTTAGCATCGGGTAACAGGTTTTGCATCAGAAGATGATTTCACATTTTGCTTAAACCTTACCACATCTTGGTTTCTTAAAAACTCCAAGAATTCTGATTTCTTAACTAATTCATAAAAGGAAAAAGAGAAAAACTCTGTATTAATGGGAGGTTTACAAGATATGACCCATCTTAGGGAGGAGAATACATTCTGTTATACAGGACTAAGTTTAGATCCTCTTTGTATGTAGTATCTGAGCACTTTAGAACATGTTTTTCATCCTTCTCAAGCCTCTGTCAAATGGGAGAAATAATGCTGCTTCCCTCATAAGACTCCAAGAAGATAATGCATGTAAAGCACATATGATAAGGTCTGACACATAATAGCTGCATTGGAAGTGCTGGGCCTATGACAATTTCTAGAGAGTAGCAAGAGAGCACAAAATTGAAGAGACAAAATCTGGGAGGAAAAAGAACTCTTTTAACTGAAATTTATGACATGTCAACAGCATGTAGACTAAGAATTGTGAATGGCTTTTGATGAAGTCAGTGCTATGTCTGAGGAGGTTGAACTGATTGTGGTATAAAAGGGAACAACTATCCATTTCTTCTTGGGTTTCCATATGTTCCTGCTTACACTTTGTCCTGCCTAACCCTATACAAGCTATGTGAAAATCTCTTGCCATTAGCCCACGCCCATAGAAAATATACTAAAATTTATACTCATTTGCCTTATAAAATAGAAGTATGGTCTTTTATATCCAGCTCATTTATCTTTTAAGTAAAGCCCTCTCTCTTTCTCTCTTCCTCCGTCCTCCCGCCTCTCTCTCCCTATCCCCTCCTCTCCTCCCCTTGCCCCCATAAATTCCTGACATCTAGGTCTTTTGAGCATTATATATGTGCCAACTTTTGTATTTATCTTTGTGACGCACATAATTTTTTTTCAATCTGAAAGAAAAAGCTTCATTGACTAAGAAGAGAACCACTTTTCCTTTCAATCTATTGCCTTTGTAATGGTACACAATTCTGACTTTTCAAGTGTGTTTCCAAGCACTGTTTGCTTTGCCTTTGAGGTTCCCTTTAGAGCTCAGGTCCCAGAGTTTGACGTTGATTCAGCCTGTAAAATCTCGGGCTGCTTCAGGTGTGAATCAGCATGTGCTGCTTTTGTGTTCTTGAAACATGTAGCTGTGCTGTGATCTAGGCTGAGCTTGATCCATAATACAGAAAACAAAGCTCACCTGTGCAGTTGCAGTGGCTTTTTGCAGTTCATTTGCAGATCTCTCAGGTCGTGCTTTCATTTGTTCATAACAATTTTCATCCACTGGTTCTGATGAGTTGAAAAGATCATGATTTACAGTGGAAAAATGAAAATGCTGGTGCCAATAAAAATACAACCCAAACATCATATAGCTGTAAATGTGAAACCCCCAAAAGTCATTTGATTTGTCATTTTTTGGAGATGCAAAAAAATAAGGAAGCACAAACCATTTTATGCTTCAGAATGTGGAGAAGTCTTTTGCCCTGCAGCATTACCAATAAGACAAAAGAAGGTCACTTAGGATAAGGACTAGATCATATTAATTTATGCCATTTCAGGACATGACAGGCTCAACTTAAACTACCATTTAGATGTTGGAGATCCCATGTGTTCTATTTAGCCATGATTGCAAATGGTGCACGGTGGTGGCACAGTATAGTGCACATGCACTGATGATTGAAATTTGGCAATTCTTTCCATAAGTGAGAAGTTTTACTTAAAGGCATTTTATTTATTTCTTATTTTTTTAAGTTTATTTATTTTGGAGTGGTGGGGCAGAGAGGAAGAGAGAGAGAGAGAGAGAGAGAGAATCTCAAGCAGGCACTATACTGTCAGTGCAGAGCATGACGCAAGGCTCAAACTCAGGAGCTGTGAAATTATGACCTGAGTCAAAGTCGGATGCTTAATGGACTGAGCCACCCAGGCACCCCATACTCAGAATCATTTTAAAACCTATGTCCTATTTTTTTATGTTTTTTTAATTCTTATTTAATTTATTTTTTTCAACTTTTAAAAAAATGTTTATTTTTTGAGAGAGGGAGAGAGAGAGTGAGAGAGAGAGAGAGAGAGAGAGCAGGGGAGGGGCAGAGAGAGAGGGAGACAGAATCCCAGGTATTCATGCTGTCAGCAGCACAGAGACTGACGTGTGGGGCTGGAACCTAAGAACCATGAGATTGGGCGATCTGAGCTGTCCAAGAGTTGACGCTTAACCAACTGAGCCACCCAGGCACCCCTTTAATTTATTTTTTTTTATTTTTTTTTTTTTAAATTTTTTTTTTAACGCATGCTATTCATTTTTTTGGGACAGAGAGAGAATGAGCAAGGAACGTGGGGGGAGGGACAGAGAGAGAGGGAGACACAGAATCGGGAAATAGGCTCAGGCTCTGAGCTGCCAGCCCAGAGCCCGGACAAGGCTCACTAATGGACCGCTTAGATCGCGACCTGGCTGGTAGATGCTTAACCGATCATGCCCACCCAGGCTCTATTTTTTTAATTTATATCCAAGTTAGTTAGCATCTAGTGCAAATACCGATTTCAGGAGTAGATTCCTTAATGCCCTTGTAGTCCCCTCCCACAACCCCTCTAGTAACCCCGTTTGTTCTCCATATTTAAGAGTCTTCTTATGTTTTTGTCCCTCTCCATGTTTTAAAATTTTTTTTTTTTCAACGTTTATTTATTTTTGGGACAGAGAGAGACAGAGCATGAACGGGGGAGGTGCAGAGAGAGAGGAGACACAGACCGAAATAGGCTCCAGCTCTGAGTTGGCCCAGAGCCCCACGCTGCTCCCAACCACAGAACGTAGAGATCGCGGACTGGTTGAAGTCGGACGCGTAACCGACTGCGCCACCCAGGCGCCCCTCCATGTTTTTATATTATTCTTGCTTCCCTTATGCTCATCTGTTTTGTATCTTAAAGTCTTCATATGAGTGCAGTCATATGATATTTGTCTTTCTCTGACTAATTTCACTTAGCATAATATCCTCCAGTTCCATCCACGTAGTTGCAAATGGCAAGATTTCATTCTTTTTGATTGCCGAGTAATACTCCACTGTATATACACATACACCACGTCTTTATCCATTCATCCATTGATGGACATTTGGGCTCTTTCCTTACTTTGGCTATTGTTGATAGTGCTGCTATAAACGTTGGGGTGCATGTGCCCCTTCGAAATCTATGTCCTATTTTTGAAAAAGAATGTTTAGATTATGACTTTTGTCCCATATATCCGTGACAGTTCAGCCAGGCTGTTTTGAGGGTATGGAACTATGAAATGCTGGTCCTAAGTACTTAGAGTTTTTGTGCAACAGCCAGCAGACCTGTGCTCATTTCATCCTGTAGGGACATGCATAATAAATTATCCATCCCTTTCTTTCCCCCCAGATAGGCCTATATGAAAGGGAAAAGAAAGAGGGAAAGAGTGACTTGTAGGATGGCCTGTCACCTGACAGAAATGTGGACTGCACCACTTTTATCCCACAGAAAGAAAGATACATTTACTAATATAATGCAAGTTATCTTACAATCATTCAACCATTTCTGAAAAGCAACACAGAGGACCAAAGAATGGTCCATGGAAAACATGCATGACAATCACCTGGAGATTTGTCAACTAGCAAATTCCTAAACCATATTCTGGCCCTACTAAATCAGAGCCTGTGGGGTGGCACCTGTGTTCCCTTAGATACAGAAATTGCAGATATGGTGGGCTTTGCACCACCCGAGTGCATGAGAATTGAAACCTCAGATATTATAGGTGGGTACCACGATTCTGCAAGGTGAAACAGGAGGGCAAATTATAGGATAGTCCTAAAAAGTAGTTTTGAGTTCTCAGAGTATAGAGACTAGAAGACACTTTACAAAGAAGGGAAAGACAAAGATTAAATAATATCTTGAAGCCTTTAATAGTCTCACATTCCTAACTTTAGGAGAATTGCATGGTGTTTTGATACACAGAGATTCAGAGAGTTTAGTCCATTCCTGGAAATCTCTGTTAACCCCTAACTTTCCTATCATGAATTAAGTGAAGGACTTGTAGGGCCAGGATGGCGTTAAATACTAGCATTTACCCTTATGGCTTCTCTAATCAGAGCTCTGGGATCAGATCATTGTTATCTGTTTTAAGGAGTTTAGTGGCATTTTGTTTTGGAGTGGTTGGGATGTTTCAAGGAATACGGGAAGCTGGGAATTGAAAAGTACTTGTTACCTAAGAACAAAAAAAATATAACCCACTCAGTGGCGATGTAGCTCTTTTCTTTCTCCATTTGCCCTCAACGTAGCCCGAGATTCTCTACTTAACCTGAGCAGATAAAATACAGGAAACCAGAGTACGTGTTCATTGTTCCAGATTATTCAGCGTAGATTTGCTTTTGTAGACAGTGCCAAGCACTGTTTCCCTGAGCTATTTTCTGTTCTAGAAATAGCTTTATTTCATAGAATTGTGTGTGTCAAAATTCATAGTAACAGGGTCTTCCTGTATTCACATTTCTTCTAGAGTAAAACAAAGAGAATATAGAAAAACAGGATGTTGACTTACGCTGAGTATTTCAACACAATTTACAATATGTAGCTTTGGAAATATATACTAAATAAAATGCTAAATATTGTTGAATTTATGGTTGCCATTTGGGAAGTTTAAATGTGACTGCAACCAAAAATAAGCCACCTCAAAATGCTGTGGGAGTAAGGGGAGGGATATTAATTTGTAGATAAATATAATTTCTGGAAACATAAAACTTACCTGGGACCACATCATCTAAGTTACCATAAATTGGTGTGTCTTCAATATAATACTCATCCTCCCTATAATAATGAAAAATAATTTATCTTATTAGAATCCACTTTATACACAGTTCTTAACTGGTTTCTCAGCTAAATTCAATATATGATTATATGTTCTTGTTTAACCTCAGCCAACCACAGTAGATATATTTATGATGCAAGAGCACATGTGTGCCTGCGTGCCTGTGTGTGTGTACATTTGAACAGGGTTTGTTTGGACTGTTCAGATAATAACAGCAAATACTTATTTAGCACTTAATGGTTGTCAGATGTTACTGGAACTGCAAGTTCATTTATTCATTTATTCCATGCTCAAAACAATCTGACCAGATAGGCACTATAGCATTCCCATTTAATAGATAAGGAACTTGAGGCACAAAGAAGTCCTATGATGTGAAGGTGAGAAGACTAGTCAGTGTCAGAGCTGTGACTAGAACCTAGGTTATCCATGGTCTTAATTATACATTATACTGCCTGTTTACGTCCCCAGACTATTACTCTGAATCATCTGCTGAAACTGTGTTTACTAAATACTAATTGACAGTGATGCTTAGGAAATAAAAGGCCGAAGAAATATTGTAGAGTCAGGTTGGAAGGTGTAGCAAAATGATGGATTCACCTATTCTATCCAGATGTTGTGCTAAATGTTTAAATACATTATACCGAAGTTCTAGGGAAATTCTGCAGAAATATTATTTCCCACTTTACAGACGGGAAGTCTGAGAATCCGCTAGATTAACATTATTTTCCCTAGCCTTATGTGAAATGCCAGCAATAAGTACCAGTTCTGAAAGCTTTTCTTTATGCCAGTGCTCATTCAACCCTCAGAACAATTCTGAGATGCTGTTTCTTTTTAAATCCCCACTGTGCATACAAGGAATTTGCAACTCCTAGAGTTAAAGTGGCCAAAGACAAGGATAGTAACTCGCAGTGCAAGTCTGGTCCAAAAGCCCTAAATATTATTTGCTCTTGATGTTTGATTAAATTTCCTTACAGCTTCATCTGACTAATCCTTTTAGGATTAGAGTAGACATCTTACCATTGTCACCAGACAGTGACAATGGCCCTGGTGACCACCTTTCACAATGGCAGGCTGGCAACAGAGGAACATATCAGGCAGTGAGAGTGGCATTTCATAAAATAGTAGCAACTGCTTTAACTTTGAGATTACATATCATCATGAGCTGGAGGGAACAGCATGAAAAGAAAAAAAGAACACTTAACTGATCTCAAGGCATAACACCTATATTACTCCCTATGCTTCTGAAAGAAGGCACAGTATATGTAAATAGTAAGTAGGTGTCCTAAAAAAAAAATCAAATGATACCTGTATGAAATGGTTTGAAAAGTCCAGATGCTGGCATGTTTTTCTCTTATCTGATAACAAAGGAACTCATCTGTAACCTTTCCTTCCATCAGTAATTCAATACAGCTTAATACTGGGATATGGAGTAGTCCCTGTTCATGGTTTTTCTCTGGCTATGCAGAGAATATAATAGCAAAAGGTGAGGAATTTTTAATAAGACAATCCATCCATTTTCCTAGCTTACACAGATAGCAGATACAACCTGCAAATGATAAATCATGTCCAAAAAATGAATATCATTTCATTCCCTATGAATGAAAATAAGATGTGATTTATAATGCAATGCCCTATGTCTACAGGCAGGTCTCAAATGATTAATCATCTGAAATAAACTATTACAAAGGAACAGTTGCCTAACCAACAAATTAAAAAATATATTTTTACTTGGCAATGCCAAATAGCTCCAGCATATTGAAAATATCTAATAAACTCTAAGCACAAATATTTGGCAGTGTTTTATGTAGAAGATCAACTACTATTAAAAATAGATTAATAAAGTCATATCCTAGAGGCTAGTCCATTGTTCTGAACATGTCTGAAATGGTCCTCTGACAAATAGGCACATTTACTGACACTCTAACGCCTAAAGTAATGTTAATGATATCTTTTACTGGGGGCCAAATTTCTACTTTAGCATATATTTTCTGTATTCCCTATTTTTAAAGTTTTAATTTCATCATTATTTTATTGTGAAGAAGTCCTTTTAGAAAGGTGGTTGAATACTTTATTATCTAAGTAGATTAAATAAGTAAATTCCGTTTCTAAAAAAATCAGTACTTCCATCTGAGTGACTTTGGACATAAATTCTCTAAGTTTCAATTTCCTTATTTATAAAACAAGTTTATTAAACTATTTAATCACTATTTTTCTTTTCAGCTCTGAAATTCTATGATATGAATGTAGGGTTTCAACATCCGAATAAAAATGGAAGATATTTCTTTTTTTTTTTTTTTAATTTTTTTTTTCTTCAACGTTTTTATTTATTTTTGGGACAGAGAGAGACAGAGCATGAACGGGGGAGGGGCAGAGAGAGAGGGAGACACAGAATCGGAAACAGGCTCCAGGCTCTGAGCCATCAGCCCAGAGCCCCACGCGGGGCTCGAACTCACGGACCGCAAGATCGTGACCTGGCTGAAATCGGACGCTTAACCGACTGCGCCACCCAGGCGCCCCAGATATTTCTATAAAACTAAATAAAGCTATTTTAAGGGGCCAGAAAGTTGTGACGTTGCAAAAAGAGCAAGCTTAGGGGTCTATCAGGAATTTTGCTAAGTGTTACCTTGATTTGCTTGGTAGGCATTTCTTCAAATTGTCAGATATATATATGTTAGGCTCCATTAGTGTGTAACGTTTTTGAAAGCCATAAGAGGAGATAAAACTACTTTATGGAATGAGTATAGATAGAGAAGAGTTTCATGAGATTAGTCCAGAACACTCTGATGTCAAAGGTTCAGGAATCAGCAGAGGAGAAGGAGCCGCTGGTAAGAAGGAAAATCAAAGATGGAGGTGGGGGGGGGGGCACCCAGAGCCTAGAGAAGTAAGTGTCTCAAGAAGGAGAGAGCATCGATGTATCAAATGCTACAGATGGACTGCATACAATGACACTAACATTTGGCCATGTGGATTTCACTGGTGACCCTGACAAGAGCCGAGTTGGTAGATTACTGAGGGCAGAAAATTGAATAGAGTAGGTTCAGGAAAGAAGAGAAGAGGAGGAGAAGCCAGAAAATGCAGAGAGAACATAGATGGAACTTTCATGTTTTGCGGTAAAAGGTGCAGAGCAATGAGGATGTAGCAATCTAGTATCAAGTATCTAGTATCTAGTATCAAGGAAGCTTTTCTTGTTTTCTTTTCTTTCCTTTTTTTTTTTTTTTTTTTTTTTTTTGAATGAGACAATACTCTTTATACATTGAAGGGAATAATACAAAAAGAAGAAGCAATGATACAGGAGGAAAAAGGGAAAGTTGCTGAAGGGATGGGTCCTGAGTACATGCTTACTGAATTTTTACTTTCTTTGCCAGGGACTGTGCCATGGCTGTAGCTGTCTTGAACTTGGGGTGAGAGGACCAAGCATAGACCCCTGGTCCTGGGGAATAGTATAAACCTTAGCAGTGGTTTTGTACAGTTAGAGACTAACAAGTGAATCCAGTGGTATTCCCTGTGAAGGGGATGGTCAATGGATTCTCAGAGCAGTGATATCTAATACTAAATTTTTATTCTCTTGCTCAGTGTTCCAATTTTCTTCTAAAATATCCATTCTTTGTAGCCTATTAAAGATACAGCACTTGTATTGCCAGTGCTTTGGAGCACTTGAAAAGAAGGATCTTTCACCACGTTTTTGGGGAATGGACAATAGAAAGATCTGCCAGCATGAAGAATTTTAAAGATATGGGGAAAGACACCTAGAGCAGTGACACAGAGCTAAGTGTGACAAAAGGACAATCAAGAATAAGATTTGATTTTGGGGGGGGGCTGGGTGGCTCAGTTGGTTGAGCGTCCGACTTCAGCTCAGGTCATGATCTCACGGCTTGTGAGTTAGAGCCCCACGTCGGGCTCTGTGCTGACAGTTCAGAGCCTGGAGCCTGCATCAGATTCTGTGTCTCCCTCTCTCTCTCTGCCCCTCCCCTGGTCACACTCTGTCTCTCTCTCTCTCTCTCTCAAAAGTAAATAAAAATATTTTAAAAATTAATAAAGAATAAGACTTTTGAAACCTATCTGTACTTCTCAAGGATTTTTTTTTATTAAGTTTATTTATTTCTTTGGAAAGAGAGATAGAGACCGCATGAGTAGGGGAGGGGCAAAGAGAGAGGGAGAGAGAGAATCCCAAGCAGGCTTCCTGCTGCCAGTGCAGAGCCCAACGTGGGGCTCAAACTCACAAAATTGTGAGATCAGGAACTGAGCTGAAACCAAGAGTTGGGTGCTTAATGGACTGAGCCACCCAGGCGCCCCTCAAGAATTCTTAGGAAGAAATTCTTAAGAAGGGTTAGAGCATGGCTTACAGTTATTTGTACATTAAAACTAATAAACAGAAGGCTGGAAAATGTGGAGCTATTTTGGTTACAAGTGTGGCAGTGATCACAATGAGGGCCTCAACTCCCTATCCACTTTGATGTCTGGGAAGGCTACTCAGAAGTTCTCTTGTCACAAGGATCCTCCCTCTTGAGAATGGATGAGAACAGCTAAAACCAGAAGTCTGGTCCCAGGCACTAGGTTAGTGTATTTAGTAAAGAGGGAAAGTGAATGGAGCCTGCAGAGCCCCAGAAATCCAAGAAGTCATCTTAAGATGGAAGAACGGCTGAGATGAGACCTGTTTTGTCATAAAATCATGTTTCAGTGTCACCCAGAAGCAGACCGTGCAAAAAGCTGCTGAGAATCTGTCCTAAGTTTTTTGCAACAGACTCTGAAACTAAGGAGTCATGATGTGTTTAAAGTAGTCATAAACCTGAACTGATTTCTGAAATTAGAGGGTGAATATACTGTAAACGGGCAGGAATTTTCTTAGACCTTAATTTTCATCTGATAAAGCAGTACCTTTGTTTTTAAATCAACTCTGCTTTGTATGGAAAGCATTATATTATAATCTGTATTTTTCAGATGATACAGCTGAAGTTCACCAATGCTCATTTTCCCAAGACTACAAGCCTAGTAATTACAAGAGTTTGATTCAAATCCAGAATTGTCTAGATCTCAAATCCATGATATACCCACTGTATAATACTTCTAACACAGATCAAAAGACCAGAATTGTGTAGAATTCTATTTTAAAATTTTTTTTTTCAACGTTTTTATTTATTTTTGGGACAGAGAGAGACAGAGCATGAACGGGGGAGGGGCAGAGAGAGAGGGAGACACAGAATCGGAAACAGGCTCCAGGCTCCGAGCCATCAGCCCAGAGCCTGACGCGGGGCTCGAACTCACGGACCGCGAGATCGTGACCTGGCTGAAGTCGGACACTTAACCGACTGCGCCACCCAGGCGCCCCTAGAATTCTATTTTAAAGGAAAAATAAAGTGGACCAGAGGTAAATGCCAGGATGTGTGTATATGACTTTCTGTTAAATATAGATGCTACACGGTCTTTAAAGTGATCACATTTTTGACCTACTAGTGCAGGAAGGGCAGGGATTTGGGGAAGCAGGAAGACAAGATCAGAGAAGCAGAGTTCTTTCCCTTCTAGCATGGCTTCCCACCCAAACCACTGTTGGGTAGGGGTGGAAAGAGGGTGCAGTGGGGGAGCCCTAGCCTCAAACCATCTAAGAACTGAGGAGGCGTCACTAATTTCACTTCTACCTAAGAAAGATAGCTTTTATTTCCACTTGCTGTTTTCATGCTGAAGTTTTAATGGCTAGAGATAATTTCACATATTTTGTTTTTCCTGGAGCCTCCATGCCCTTCCTACAGTGGTGATTTTGGCTCCCAGACTACATAATCAGAAATAGACAAGCTGTGAAGTACAGACATAAACTTGTGAATTAACACGCCACCCACTTTTCATAGATAAAATCTGCATCACATATTCAAATTATGCTTAAATTGAGACTTGTTACAATAGATAACAGATTAAATCCATGAGGGAAGGATCTACATCTTTGCATCTTTGCATCTCTTGTCTACCACAATTCCTATTTGTTGAACCAATATTTGTTCAATGTATGAATAAGTGTTATAAAAGAACCAGCCTCTTTTTCACATTTGCCCTATAGGTAAGGGCCTACTTACTTTGAGATGGGTATTTTACCAATTTTCCCTTCTGACTCTTAGCGTCCTGATCCAAGAGTACCTACCCAGTCTTTAGCAGAATGATCAAATCGCATTGCATCTTAATTACCTCTCAAATGATAATTATCATATAAATCTTCTAAGAGATTAACTTCTACATGGTTATATAGGATTTTCTTTGTCATGTTGTTTGTTGTAACCAAATCAGCAAATCAATCTTGATATGAGATAATGAATTGAAAATTATCTCATGTTATAGAACCCATGTTAAACTGTAAAAATAAAGATTTTCTTCTTTGTGTGAATCTGCCTGCAGCTTAGATCCTGAATCTGCCAGAGATATTTCCACATGGAGAAAAATTTTAAAAAGGTCTTTTTAAAGGCTAACAAAAAGCTTATAATCTTATCCTACCCAGTGAGAAAGCTCTGTGTTTGTGAAAGACCTTTCTGCCTTTCAGTCTACTATTTCAGAAAGGTCTTGAAGAGTCCTCTAGGAAATTCTCTATATTTAGGTGTTTTTTTTTAACCTAAAGGAGAAATTTCCAATCTAATAACACAGTTGGGCCAGAATATACTGGGCAAGAAAATGAAAGTTCTTTACTATTGTTTATACCATAAACCTTTTTTTATAAGGAAAAATCATACAAATTTCCCTGCAACAGGTGTTAAAGAGAATAAGTTATATCTATAACCATATATAATTTTAGGGTTGATTTATCACAGTTCCCTATTGATTGACATTACTTTTCAAAGGAGCACACCACGAAGCATCTTCATGTATTTGTGTATGTATGTGTATCTTTTTTTAATTTTTTAAAACATTTATTCATTTTTGAGGGAAAGAGACAGAGTGTGAGCGGGTGAGGGGCAGAGAGAGGGATGCAAAGAATCTGAGCTGTCAGCCCAGAGTCTGATGCAGGGCTCAAACTCATGGACCATGAGATCATGACCTGAGCCAAAGTGGGATGCTTAAACTGAACCACCCAGGCACCCCTGTATATCTTAAATTTTATTAGGTATTGCTAGATTCCTTTTCCACCCTGGTTTCTTAAGGGCCACACAATTCTATATATAATCAGACTGAATTCTTACAATCTGATTTGAATCATAATCTAGGATACAGCCTTTTGAAATTGACAAGAATTCTGTAGATACCAGGTTAGAGTCTCACTTCGTCCCTTAACCAGCTCTGTTATTGACTCAGGATGAGTAACTAGGGAAAATAATAACAGTATAGTTCTTCATCTTCAGATAGGAGTAAAAATAATTAAAACTCACTTTTCATTTTATTTTTACCCAAATGTGACAACCCCAAGCCAAACCTAAAAGCAATATAGCATTTATTACTTCCCCTTATTAGTTGGGAATCATAATATGGAACTTATTTTCTACATACCTAGGAATGTAGTCTTCAGTGCATCTGTACATTTTACCTGAAAGATATTAAAAACAGACAAATTAAAGAAGTTGACATACATTTGTTAAATCTTGAGAATATTGTGAGGGGAGCTTAGCCTCATTGTCCTCAGTATCAAATATCTTAAATCAAGACAGTTGGCTACCACTACCAGATATAATGATCTTATCTCATTTGGGCCATTCTTCTCTCTTGGAAATTTGAGGTGGAAGCACAACACAGTCTGGAAGTGATATAGAGCCTTCATGTGTGGCCATTTTATGCAGGGGAACACCAAGTGATGAACATGGGGACCTCTACCCCTGCCTTTCCGGTGGGCAATCCAAAGTAGGTGGGGCACACTGTCCCTTCTGTCTTCACATTCCATGAAACAGCTCTGTCTCCTTCTGTCATATTTCCCTCTTTGCCCTTAGTGATTTGAATAAGCTTTTCTTCCCTACCAAAAACAAACAAAAAAATATGACACAAAACAAATCCTAGAAGACTTATGTATTTATTTCTGAAGTGTCTGTTAACACTTCTTGTCACATAAACAGGAACATAAAAATTATGTTCAGGAAGTTGCTCTGGATGTGATTCTATCTCATCCACATGGGCAAATGCAAGTAAGGGCAGATGAAGATTCTAAGGAGAAGAGAACTGTAAAAAGTTGGGAACACAGTCTAAAAGTAACCAAAACAGTAGAGTGGGTTTTTAAGAAAAACAGTATACTGGTCTGCAGTGACAATACTGACCAGAGATCTGATGTAGGCTTATAAAAACCATGAAAAAATTATGTGCCAAGTTTCCAAAAGGAACCCACTGTTAAACCTTGAAGATGGTGGCTCAAATGCAAAAAAAGGAAGTATTCTTACTTCAAATTAAATATGTATGTTTAAACTGGAAAAAAAATAGTTTTAAGAATTTTTTTTGGTGAAAAGCAATAGACTCATAAAGAATTATTGAGAGACATTAAGGGAAAATTAGGACACAGTTTTAATAATTAAGATTAATATTATGAAGAAGTCTGTATTATCTGTTCATCAGTAAATTTTCTTAGATGTTTAATTGAATGGATATAGCAAATACTGTGATACGTGGTATATTTTGAATGTATGTTATTCAATCTGGCATTAAATAGAAAAATCTTGTGAAAGCTATTTCTATAAAAATGAAGCCCATCATTATCTGAGTGTCTGGCAATATCACAGAGAAAATAGTGACCAAAGGGTGATCTTTCAGTTTTAACATACAAAAAAACACCGTATTGGTAGGGAACTGGCAAAAATATTTTCAAATGACTGAGTAAGTCACCAAACAACGAGGTAGATTATTTTTAGTTAGATTTATGTGTGACAAAGCTAAGTTATTCTTCAGAGAGGTCATTAACTGTTAGAGAAACATTATTGGGACAAATTATTGAAATCATCACATTGGGGGATGAAATGGACCTGTCACATGTCAGTGTGTTTGGAAGAATTCTGTGAAGGACCAAATGTAGGAAGTTTTGCAGAGCATGTATACGTAGCATCTATGGGGCCAAAAATGATTAGTGTGATCCACTTAGGATATATCTGAAAGGCTCCTCTCTAGCCCACAGGCAATGCCCTAACATGACCTGCATATAAAAGATGCAGTCATTTCGACTACCTTCAGATTAGTCTTGTGAACATGAACACAGATGGATGTTGAGGGAGGCTAGAGAAGTCTACTGTTGCACAGAGCCACAAGTTAATGGAAACACAAGATCGGAAAGCTTCAGAAACATAAATAATATCAATAAACATAAGAAAAATTAGCTAGTATAGATGAGAATATTGAAAACTGGAAAATACAAAGTATGTGTTGAGTTCTTTTTAAATGACAGAAATGTTTATACCAGGTCGTAATTATTGTTCATATTTGCCTGGAATTAAAATGCATATACAAGAATTTAGTCAAATGGTAGCCTGATGTAACATAGAAAAATTCAAGGTGAGAAATCAGAAGAGTGGATATGGGTAGCAGTTCTTCAGTGCATTTGCCATGTGCCAACATGCAAATCACTTTTAAAACTCTGGTTCTCAGGGCACCTGCGTGGCTCAGTCGGTTGAACATCCGACTCTTGATCTCATCTCAGGTCATCATCTCACAGTTCATGACTTCAAGCTCCATGTCAGGCTTTGTGTTGTGTCATCACAAATCCTGTTTGGAATTCTCTCTCCCTCTCTCTCTGCCCCTACCCCACTCATGCTCTGTCATTCTCTCTCTCAAAATAAATAAACTTAAAACCAAACCACTCTTCATTAAAAAAAAAACAACAAAATACCTGTTATTCTCTTTATCCATAAAGTAGAGATAATAATGCCAACAGCATGTGAGTAGATGTAGAAGATAAATGAAATAATTTTTGTTAAAAACATTTTAGAAAATGACAGTTGATTTTCAATACTATACATTCTAAATCCAATCATATAATAAGCCACAACTTGATTGTGCTGATTTGAATTCAATCTCTTCATTAAATGGATTAGCCGAAAACAACTTGGTATAATTAAAATGCAATTTTAATTGCAAGTAAAGCTTGATTTGTAGTGAAATGACCGAATCTCACTTCTGGCAAGAGGATTGTCGTCAAGTAAGTGTTAAATTGAAAGAAAAAATTAAAAATAAACAAAGAATTTGAAGGCAAAAATAAAGAGTGACATTACTTAAATAGAATAAGAAAACATAGGCATGGGGTCAAAGGTTACCCCACACAGACTAATAGTTTTAAATGTTTTTTATTTTTATTTTTTATTTTTATTTTTGAGAGAGAGAGAGAGAGAGAGAGAGGAGAGGAGGGACAGAGAGAGGGAGACAGAAGATCCAAGCTGACATCAGAGAACCCAACGTAGGGCTCAAACTCACAACTCCTGAGGTCATGACCCAGGTGAAGTCAGATGCTTAACTGACTGAGCCACCCAGGAGCTCCCAGACTAATATTTTTAAAAGATAATGTAGATTTTCCAGTTGGAGGTGCTTGGAGTATGAATGTTGGTACCTGGAAACTATACTAACGTGATGTGTGAAAGGATAGCTCTATGGAAAGAAAATGTTGGATGGATTATCAGTAGAGAAAAGGAAAACTAGGTTTGGACCAAAAAGATTTGTGGGAAAAAGAAAACAGAAGCCACTATATGAAGGATACAATATAACGATGTGATCCTTACATGGAAGGAAAGGAAATTAAAACAATGTGGGGAAAAAAGTAAGTAGTGGGTAAAGGACATGATACATCAAGACCAATCATATTGAAGAAGCACCCGGAATGGTCCTTAAAAAGGTCAAGGACACCACCTTCTCCACTCCTCTTAGAATTTAAATGTGTAATCCGGAGCTGGAGATCTGTACTTGTGTGGTTTTAGTTTTATATCCTTACTATAAGAAGTATGGTAGTATATGATTTCTTTAAATAGGGGAGTGGTAGGGGCACCTGGGTGGTCAGTTGGTTAAGCATATGACTTCAGCTCAGGTCATGATCTCACGTTGTGTGAGTTCAAGCCCCAAGTTGGGCTCTGTGCTGACAGCTCAGAGCCTGGGGCCTGCTTCAGATCCTGTGTCTCCCTCTCTCTCTGCCCCTCCCCTCCTCACACTCTCTCTCTCTCTCTCTCTCTCTCAAAAATGAATAAACATTAAAAAAAATAAATAGGGGAGTGGTAATCAAAAGTTTAGAGGCTGGAGCTAAGGAGAAAGGTCAGCAAGCTCAGGCTCCTGAATAGAGTTTGCTCCGTCATGAAGGCTTATAAGTTTAGTTAAAAATAGGGGTGCCTGGGTGGTTCAGTCAGTTAAGTGACCAACTCTTGATTTTGGCTCAGGTCATGGTCTCACAGTTCATGAGTCTGAGCCCCACATCTGGCTCTGTGCTGACAGCGTGGAGCCTGCTTGGGATTCTCTCTCTCTCTCTCTCTCTCTCTCTCTCTCTCTCTCTTTCTCTCTCCCGTCTCCCTCTCTTTCTGTCCCCTCTGCCTCTCTCTCTCTCTCAAAATAAACTTAAAAAAATTTTTTTAATAAAAATAAATGACATGATTTAAAAGCTACCCAATTATCTCAGTGATACTTAGTCAAATAAAAAGCAGTTTTTATGTTGCTATGAAGCAGTTGCATTTGCAAGATTCTGTGTGAGAAGAACTGGGTGAGTTTTCATAATCCTTTCTATGATTCAGATATAGACAACTTGCGGTCAGGTTCATGGTTGAGAGGATGTAAGCAAACATTTGCTTTTATGTTTTCCCCTTTATAGTGTTTACTCTTCCATATGCAATACATAACAAGAAAAAACAGCACATGACTTAAACTCCATAATAGCATTTTTGGATACATTCTTCATGTGAAAATGTGAAAAATGTGCCATAATTTTCAAGCGTATAGGAAACATACTGATAGGACTTTGATGTATGATCAAACTATGAACTTATTTATCCTTCTTCTCAAAACAGAGAAGAAAGGTTGGATAAAGGATATTTTTTGGTTTTAAAGGAAGACAAAGCTAATACATTCCTAGCAGAAAAAGAAATAAATATAATCCTCCCAAAGAACAGACAAAGAATCACATAAAATGTAGGGTTTATTCTGGGAGGAAGGGATAACTCCATTACAAAGCCTCTACCTAGCACAGCTACAGAAAACATCGAGGAGAGGCTTATCATGTCTACCTGATTGAATGTGTAGATACTGTATTGTTGCCGGGGTGGAGATTTTCTTTTGTAAGCTATTTAATACACCAGCAAAACTCATTCACTGACTCTTCGCCTTAGGTGGAGTCATATCTTGCAAGTTTCTTAGCCACAAAGAATAGCACAAAAATGCAAAAATAAAAAGTTCCATGGGGACACGGATACAGAGGCACTGTATTCCCAGACCACGTGGCAGAAAAGCTGGCAAACATAATTGAATCTCCTCTGGTCTGTCTGGCTAGGAGAAACAAAGCCGGAGGAGTCTTTAGCAGGACTGGGAGGAAGTCAGTTGGCAGAACTAATCCCAGAGTCTGCTGGAACCCCCGTGTGAGAAAGCGCTATTTGCTCATGTGGACTAGCAAGGGTGGCAGTTACTACTGATGCTTGGGGGAAACCGTCAGGAGAAGCGGAGATGTTCGGGAGAGGGCTGCAAACAGAAAAAGGGAGGTGGGATGAGAATGAAAGGCATTTTGGCATCAGTGAGCACTGTGCAAAGCTAATTTGAGGTTTGTACGCTAATAAAATGCAAGACCCAGGGTTGTGTGCTTACCTACAAAGGGCAGGTTTTGCTCAAATAAAGTAATTTGCAGTAGGCTAATGGTTAGAACTGATTCCATGAGAGCCTGTGGAAAACTCTCTAAAATGAGCCTGTATGTGACTTAAAAGAACACAGCAATAGAGGTTATTGCATAGACGTGTTAGATAATATAGAGGTGGGGCAGGAAGTGACACAGGAGCTGGAGAGGACCTAGAGAATATAGAGTTGGTGGGAGCGGTGAGAAGCCAGAGGAACTAACATTCCCTGAAATAACCAACACTAAAGTTAAATGGGATAATACATAGTCATAGCAAGCCTTTAACAAATATTTGTGGAAGGAGGGAAGGAAGCACCAGGGCAACCAATAGTGGTGATGTGGGCTATACGCCATGCAGGAATGACCTCCTCAGCCCCCAGCACTGTGCCGAGGTATCTGTATAATTTTGGCAAGAGCCCTATGGTATAGATGATATTCTCCACATTTTGTAGACAAGGGAACTGAGACTATGAGAAGTTATGCTTCTTGTATAAGAGATCTCCCAGGTAAATATTGAAAGCAGGGTTCTAATTCATGACAGATTGACTTCAAAAGCCATGATGCTAAAAACAAATTGAGAGAACTGAAATTGATTTTAAAAATACAACAGTAAGTGTAATTTACTATTTCCTGCTTTTAAAAAACTGTTATTTCCTACCATACTGCTTTTAGACAAAGTAATTTATGGCATGCCTGAGGCAGTAAGGGTTTGTACAATTGAAAAGAAAAAAAAATAAGTCTTTTTTTTTTTTTAAGGAAAAAGTCTTTTTCCTTCCCTTCCCTTCCCTTCCCTTCCCTTCCCTTCCCTTCCCTTCCCTTCCCTTCCCTTCCCTTCCCTTCCCTTCCCTTCCCTTCCCTTTCCTTTCCTTTCCTTCTAAAAAATTAGTCTACAGTCTTTTAGTAGTGGTCAACTAACCATTATAAGAAAATAACTCTCAAAAGGAGTTCATATGATGGCAAATGGTATGAACATGGATAAATAAATTCCAATGGACAAACCATCAAAACTGAGAACTAAAAAGCCCATTTGTTCCCTGGTCCCACACAGATCTCTGGATGATTGTCACTGGAATCAGTGGAAGAGTGAAATACCAGTTCATGATGGTTATTCTTGCCCTGGCTTCCACCTGCAAACATTTCACCTCTATGGCTCTACGTTCACCTTTTTCCAACTCAAATGACAATATTATCTGCATTCGTAAAACATTTTAGTGAAGAAATTAAAGTATAGTCATGTTAAGCTATTATAAAAAGAGGAATTCTAATGTTAGCTCATTTTTTTAGTATATGTGCTGCTGAAGCGAGCACTGTTAGCTCATTTTTTTATGAAGAAAACTTTTTTCGAAGATGTTGGATGGTGGGTCATTGATGTATCTGACTTATAAAAGGTATTTGAAAAAATATTTGATAAAAAAAATTAATTGCTGAAATCATTGCTAATGAAAAAGCATTGCCTGCCTGGAGTTTCAGGCATAGAAATGATAAATAGAGATCCTAAAAGAGTGTTTGCTTTCTGGCCAAGGACATTTGATCAACAGTGTAAAAACAGAATGTGCTCACGGAAACCAATTTGGACAGAGAATTAGACAGACTGGGCCCTTATCCTTGGCTTTGCTATTGAGTAGATGTGTGACCTCAACTATGCCACTTCACTTTCTAGTGCTTCTTATCTTTTTTGGGAGGCGTGACAATAATGTCTTCTTCTTTATATTTTATATTTGTGTTAGCAACACTGAAGACACTCATAAGAGGATCAAGGCCTCTCCCCAGAATCTGACTGTTGTTCTAAATTAGCGCCCTGAAGTTTTTCTGGGTCACATGTTTCTAATGTAATTTTATTAACTTCATCTTATTTTCATCTGTTAAAAAGCATTGACATTTTGTTTTCTATTCATTATTACCACAGAAATGTCCTGCCCCCAATAGAATTTTGGCTCTAGCATATTAAGACCTTTCCCAGAAATAGGTGAACTTGCATAACCATCCATCCATCCATCCATCCATCCATCCATCCATCCACCCATCCACCCAACACGCTTGTGTTGAATGCCAATAGTGTGCAAAGATTGTGCCAATTGCTGCACACGACACTATTTCAGTCATGCCCATGAGGATGAAAACCACATGGTTAAAACTGCTGACCAGCTGTCGAAAGGAAAAGCTGACCCTGGGAGTGTTAGATAATGCCTGTGGGTCAGCCTGTTGCTTTTCTAGTTCTCTCCTGATCCCAATACAGTCCTACTGCACATTAGAGGCTCTGACTTGATGCTGAGGGGTTTGAGTAGGCATGAGTAGAAGCTTGAAAAGTTAGTCTTCACTCTTCCCATCACGTATCAGTGAGAATCTTTATGGCTGCTACAGAATAAATTACAATTTCTCAACTACTGTTGGATTGGAGAAGAAAAACTACATTTTACCAGGACAATTCTTTCTTACTCTGTATCTCAGGGCAGAGATAAAGCGAAGATTGGGAGTATTTTCATATTCTAATATGATTGTATTTTTAAAGTAAAAAGAAAACTTTAGAGTGGAAAAAAAGTATCAAATAGATTTTCTACAGATAAAAATATCCTATTGCATCTCATTTCATAAAATTGTCTTCTTCTGTAGGTTTTCCAGTGACTCAGTCTCCATTCATGCGGGAGTAGATGTGTGGCTATTTCTCAAAATGTCTTACCTTGTCGCTGCTTTTCCACATAGTGGGAAATATTGAAGATCAGTGATACAATCAGAGCTAATCCCAAAAAGGCTAGAATTACCCAGACATAATAGTGGCATCCAGGGTTTTCTGGAAAACAAACAAACAAACATACCTATAATATATTAGCTGCTTACCAATTTGTTTTGAATTGGGTATTCCCACAATTGAAACCATAGTATTTATTCATAATGAAGAACAAATCCTCTGCCAAGAAATTAATTACCATTGAAAGACAAAGGTTTCTTATACATTTCAAATGGGTATTGGTAAGTCCCTGCATTCAGCATGAAGAAAAGGAAGCAAGTTTCCCACATTCTTAGTGTTGATGAAAGACATTTTTAGTGTTGCTGCTAAAATTTGACAATTGGTGACTGATTACAAAAACTTTGGTTCAAAATCAAGAACATCCAGATTCAATCCAAATGGAATTATAATTGTTTTCTTTGAGTACTTGTTGGCCTTGTAGTGGTTGTTGAACTGCCCTCAGTGGTCCTGTGTTTTTGAATAGATCTTTCATTTTCTTTCTTCCTTGCTTTCTTTTCTTTTTCTTTCCTTTTCTTTTTTCTTTCCTTTTTTCTTTCTTTCTTTCTTTCTTTCTTTCTTTCTTTCTTTCTTTCTTTCCATATTTAGTTTTAAATGAACATAGGCATATATATAATTAAATATATAAAATATATATGCATTTATGATATAGATGTACATATACATATATGCATATGATTTGCATATTGTTTATTTATATATACTTTGCTTTTGTTTGAACTAGTCTGTGGCTCTTTAAACACCAGCAAATCTATTCACTAATGTCTGCTATCTCCTCTCTAATTTTGCACCATGTTATTTAAATGTCCAGAATACCATAAACTCCACAGAGAATAGGACCATTTCTGTCTTCTGCTCTGTAGTATCATATATAATGTACATAATTTACAAACATTTTAAAATAATTAATTAGTAAATGGGAAAAGTTAACTGATGGTGGTGGTGAAATGGGTGGTTTATTTTCTTTAAGGGAATTTTTATGTTTCATAGAGTCTTAGAAAATTGAGAAGACTTGAATAGTCTTTTATCTTCCAATAAACCTACAAATTAATTTGCTTAAAAACACTAAGGTTTGGAAAGGCCTTATTTATTCATTATGAATATAATCCCACAAATATTTATGAGAATTCTACAACACAGTAATCATTAACTATTTAAAATATACTACTAATTCTAGGTATCGCACGATACTGCCTACATTCCTAGAATTGTTTATTTGGTTTTTATGTTTAACTGTTTACGAAAAAAGCACAAATTCATACTAAGTCTAAATTTTAAAAATTCTAGCAATAGCAAAATATAGAATAACATATAAGGTTCTCCACTAGAGCATAAATGGGTCACTAATATTATACTAATTAGCCTTTTAAAAAAACTTAACCAGTGCATCTGGAGGATTTTTACCATGTTATTATGTTATCTGTAGTGGCGGCATGGAATAACACAGTGCTGTTTTAATATAATTCATCTACCCCTTTTTCTAAGATGGATATTCTGATTTTTTAAAACGTTTTTCTCTTACAAACAATAATGCAACAAACTTCATTGGACAGGCATTTAACACATATGTGAGCTTATCTGTAGAAAGAGGCTCCTGGGAATACAATTGCTGGGTTAAAGGGAATTTTTAAGGCATGCTTTCAAAGAAAGATTGTTCTCTACCTCCCATTGATAATAGTCCTTTTCAGGTGGTTAATGTAACCAGAATTGTGAAGAATGAGGCCAATAAGCCGTCGTAGTTCCCAGATGGGTCTCAGTTGCCTTCTTTGCTATATCACAACACAGAGGTTTTAATTTCTGCTTTGTTATCAAATTAATGGTTATATACATGAATTCTGTTATTAAAGAATTCTTTTCTTCTAGTAAAGAAAAAGTCCTAGTTCTAGATTCTTTCACATTTTAAGGTAATTTGAGGGCACACACTATGTTTTCTATCAAGATAGCTCACAATTATCATTTCAGGTTATTCAGTCTAGTACATTCTAATCACTCACCCTTTACAGTCACTGTATTTGGTGACAAACAAATGAACTTTAGTTGCTACCCAGAGGCCAGACTTATATATATCACCTATGTTCAATATTAAAAACTATTAGTGAACTTAGACAAGCAAAAAAAGAAAGCTAAGAATCAACCATAATCCTATTATCAAGAGACAATCACTGTGAATACCTTGGTTCATATACTTCGAATTATTTTTCTCTGTATAGAAATGATTATGGACAGAGACATAAGATTCAATTATACTGAATATACTGTTATCTCCTTTCACCCCAACAATTTATAGTGTGCTTCATTTCCTATAAATAAAATATGCTTTCATTTCTTTTAGTGTCCTTATATTCCACTGAATGAATTTTCTATAATTTATTTAAACAATCCCTTATCATTAGACATGTAAGTTGCTTGTGATTTTTAGTTATATAAGCAGTGTTGTGATGAATATCTGTAGCTAAAACTATATATCCAACCTTAATTTTTTATTTCAGGTAAAAATTCTTTTTTTAAAATTTATTTATTTTTGAGAGACAGAGAGGGTGAGCGGGGGAGGGTCAGATAGAGAGGGAGAGAGAGAATGTCAAGCAGGCTCCATGCTGTCAGCATGGAGCCCAATGTGGGGCTCAAACTCTCAAACCATGAGATCATGACCTGAGTCAAAACTAAGAGTCAGACACTTAACCAACTGAGCCACCCAGGCACCCCTCAGGTAAAAATTCTTGATTTGTGAGGTCAAAAGATATACACATCTGAAAGGATTTTGATGTCTTGATGGCCCAGGTTTTAATTTTTTTTATGTTTATTTTATTATTTTTTGAAAGAGAGACAGAGTGTGAGTGGGAGAGGAGCAGAGAGAGGGAGACACTGAATCTGAAGCAGGCTCCAGGCTCTGAGCTGTCAGCACAGAGCCCGACAAGGGGCCCAAACTCATGAACCCTGAGATCATGACCTGAGCTGAAGTCAGACATTCAACCAACTAAGCCACCCAGATGCCCCGTTGATGGCCCAGGTTTTAAAACACAATATTAAGGGGTGCCTGGGTGGCTCAATCAGTTAAGCATCTGAGCTGGGCTCAGGTCATGATCTTGCTGTTGGTGGGTTTGAGCCCCCTGTCGGACTCCACGCTGGCAGCTCAGAGCCTGGAGCCTGCTTCGGATTCTATGTCTCCCTCTCTCTTTGCTCCTCCCCTGCTTTTGCTCTGTGTCTCTCTCTCAAAAATAAACATTAAAACAAAATTTTTAAGGGGCATCTGCGTGGCTCATTCAGTTAACCAGCAGACTTGGGCTCAGGTCATGATTTCACGATTCGTCAGTTCAAGCCCCGCATCGGGCTCTGTGCTGACAGCTCAGAGTCTGGAGCCTGCTTCAGATTCTCTGTCTCCCTCTCTCTCTGCCCCTCCCCTGCAGGGCTCTCTCTCTCTCTCTCTCTCTCTCTCTCAAAAAGAAATAAACATTAAAAAAATTTTAAAAAATTTTTAAACACAGTATTAAGAAGACCCTTCTCAGGCTGGTGTGGCCTCTGATCCTATTAGTTAATTGGCCCTGACTTTATGTTTATGGCTATTTTGGTTCAGCCACACTACATCAACCCCCATCCTCATAGCTACTATCTTCCCACACACTGTCTCATGTAGTCTCCTCCTTCGTGGTTTGTGGAGGAAGTTGTCCCTTTGTCTTTTCTCTGGAGCCTGTGACATGAGTACTTCATGAGAAGGCGCCTGCTCTTATCTCTGCCCTAAACATAGAGAACATCACACTTTTCTTTCCTTACCATGAACTGTTTCCACAAAATGTTGCTTTAGGTTTTCTAATTTTAGGACTTATCTGCTATACTTTCCCAATAATATGCCCTGCTCCAATCATTCTGAAGCACTTATGATTCTCAATAGATACCATACTTACCATTTCATGTCTCTGTATATTTGCTCCTTTGCCTGAAATGCCTTTTTCCTCAGCTGTTTGACAGATTCATAGTCATCCTTCAAGACCTTTTCTTTGAAGCATTTGCTCTATGCTGCCTGTCCCCCACCAAGTGACATCTTTTACAGCCCCCTACGTTTCAACAAATATTGAGATAATCATCTAGGTGTAAAAATCTCTTCCTACTTGACTGTGAACTTCCCAAAGGACAGAAAGAACGCCATATTCATCTTGGTCTTCATGCCTCAATTTCCTCATTTTACCTATTTTTGTGGGGATTCAGTGAGTTAAGACATGTAAGGAGATTTGTAGAAGATGCTCCATAAATGTTAGCTATTGTATCGTTTTCAAAAATTTTTAGTGTAGTTGACACACAAGCTTACATTAGTTTCAGATGTACGTTTCTATACATTATACGGTCACCACAAGTGTATCTGCCATCTGTCCCCACACAACACTATTACAATACCATTGACCGTATTATCTATGTTGTACCTTTTATTCCCATGACTTAGTCAATTCGTAACTGGAAACTATCGTTATTCTTATTCTCATCTCACTACTAGTGAGACTCCTGTTATTATTTCTGTAACCTATTCAGCACAAAGTAGGTTCTCACTAAACATGTGTCAACTGACTAAATAAAAGACAAGTGGAATAAAGACAGACAATGTAATGACTAGGGCCAACAGAAAAGTTCTGATCAAATATGAGGTCTAGGCACACTCACAATCTAGGAAAGACAAGTTGAAGATCATAGTACATTTGTCTCTAGTGCTGTTGAGAAAAGACCTACCTCCCAGCAGCTATGAGATAGATCCTTGTGAAAAGAAGAGTAACACATTAGGCCGCTGTAATCTTGGTGAAAGTACTCATGAACAACATCCTAATTCTCTCTGCCCTGAACCTACATTTACCAGAAAATCTACAGATTATTATATTTTTTCTAAGAAACTTGATACAAGGAAGTTGGTGCTAACAGCTAGGTATCTAATTAAATTTATGGGGTGTCCACCACTATAAACATAAAATTTTATTTTCTTGTTTAAAAATCAGTCCTTTGGGGAGTTTGGTTAGTGTCAGTGAATTCTCTGGGAAAGGAATTTAAACAATACCACTAGTTGAGGT